AGCGCCGAATCCTAACCACTAGACCATATGGGAGCAACTGATTCTATATTAACAAAGCAAAAACCGTCCACTTAACAAAGTAGAAACATTGCAAAACCAAGATTCAAACATGTAAAACTATCAGTTCCCACACCGGGAATCGAACCCGGGCCGCGGCGGTGAGAGCGCCGAATCCTAACCACTAGACCATATGGGAGCAACTGATTCTATGTTCACAAAGCAAAACCGTCCACTTAACAAAGTAGAAACATTGCAAAACTAAGATTCATACATGTAAAACTATCAGTTCCCACACCGGGAATCGAACCCGGGCCGCGGCGGTGAGAGCGCCGAATCCTAACCACTAGACCATATGGGAGCAACTGATTATAATTTAGTGAAACCATATGCTGTGAAAATAGATGGAGATTCTAGATGTAAAGCCATTGCAAAAATAACAAGTTTTAAGCACTAATAAAAACGATTACTGACTCTAGCCCTGAATCCTAAGTGCTTCTACCGATAAATTGTAATGAAATAAATGAATAATTATGCATAGTTCGCATAATAACAACTCGCTGACAACATCTCATAGCAAGTATCAGCAGTGGTAAGTCCCCGTGGTTTCCTGCAGGTTCGGTGAGCACCAGCAAGCCATACGCTCATCAGATGGTTCGCACGGACAACCGTGAACAGAAGCTTGACGCATTCCTGCAGCCGAAGCCACCAGCTGCTACTGTCCTTGTCAATGCAGTGGATGTGTCACCACATGGTGACAGTGCCCGCGTTGACACGCAACACAGGTATCACATGCTGATAAGCACCCAGTGCTGTTGGCAATAGCCAAACTGATGTCAGGTATCTGTGCAGTTGATTAGTGTGGTGATTCTCTATTGCAAGATGTTTCACAGTCACAAAACCCTGCATTGTAGGATTCTGCCTAGCTGATGGTAACCTTGGTTGACTTTGACATTTATTACATCATTAGAGCGTTATATTGGTATTGTTCCTAACTGATGGTAACCTTGGTTGACTTTTTATTTATTACATCATGATATCATTATATTGGCATTGTTCCTGTCTGATGGTGACCTTGGTTGACCTTGCCATTTTTTTACATTGTTACATCCTTATCTTAACATTCTTCCTTGCTGATAGTAACTTTGGTTGACTTTACCATCGATTACCTCATTAAATAATTACCTTAGCATTATACCTAACTGATGGTGACCTTGGTTGACCTTACCATTTAGTACATTCTTATCTTAGCATTGTTCCTAACTGGTGATGACCTTGGTTGACCTTACCATGTATTACATCTTTATCTTAGCATTGGTCCTAACTTGTGATGACCTTGGTTGACTTTACTGTTCGTCATGTCATTCTTTTCCCCAGCTCTACTTCCGGAAACGAGACGGGTCGCCGTCAGGTGAAGTTGACTAGTGTTTTAATTCTACAGGAGGTGCTTAAAACCAAAGCTCACTCAGGTACGATTATAACTCACTTGGCAGTTGTTATGTGCATGATCATTGATGTTCTTTATCATTCACCTGTCTTATCTTATCTTGTCTGTTTATCCGGCTCTGCCTGTGTGTTTATGTGTGTCACTGTGTGTCTGACTGCCTGTCTGCCTGTCTGTCTGTCTGTCTGTCTATCTGACTGTGTTGGTGATTGTTTGCCTATCTGTATACTAGATATCTATCTATTTGTGCACGCATAAGAATTGATATTTCGTATTCATTGACTTGTTTAGGATTAGCTCTGCACAATGAGTTTTGCAAGATCTCAAGTTGGTTGTTGTTTGCAATTTAAACACAAATACGCATGCGTGCATGCAAGCACACACGCACATACATGTCTTTTTTATCGTGTTTCTTGCAGGTCTTAGAGAGGTGTTCCAGAATCACAAGTTTGTTGGCTGCGTTAACAGAAAGCGTGCATTGGTTCAGCACAACACCAAACTCTACCTTGTCAACACCACTGTGCTCAGGTATGCCTGCACTCATGTTATAGCGATTCAACATGCTCATGCGGTTGGTGAAAATGCTGGCGTAATATTTAGACAATTTCTCTATGCTACTGGTGTTTACTGCCACCAGGTGGCAGCACAGGTGCTGTTGCACTGAACCTTCACTATTTCACAAACATCACAATATTGTTAATAAATACAAGTTGAAGTATTTACTTTCAAAGCTGCATAATTAAAGTGAACTTGTAGAGCAATGCCTCATTGAAAGTGAACAACACAATAATATTCTAGTTTCTTTCGACAATTAACTTGTTCCAATTCGTTTTTTCCAGCAAGGAGCTATTCTACCAGCTAATGTTATATGAATTTGGAAATTTTGGAATGATAAAATTATCAGTAAGTTGTTTCCTATTTTATTAGCTCCAGAGAAAAATGAAAATATTTGCGTAGAGTCGTGAACACGTTTTCAGTAATTTTTTTTTGGTATACCTTACATTTATAGTTTGTTTATGTGTTATACTATTGGATATTTTCTTGTCGGAGATTTTGAGTGCAGAACCCGCGCGAGAACTGAATACTCTCTCCCCTTCCCTCCTCTCTCCTTTCTTTCTCTTTCGCTATAACCCCTCTCTGTATATCGCTCCCTTTCTCTCTTTTCCCTTTTCATTCATCATGTATATGTTAAAACACGTCACCTGTGTCCTTTAGAATCCTGCACCAATCTATGAGCTGGCAATGTTGGCATTGGACAGTGAAGAGTCTGGATGGTCAGAGACAGACGGCTCCAAAGAGGAGCTGGCACGATACGTCGTTGATTTCCTCTCTTCGCAGTCTGAAATGCTGCTAGACTACTTCTCAATACACATAGAAGTAAGCTATATCTTATAGCATTGGTAAAAATAGTAATATGCAATGATTTACAAAGTTACTAATATAAATAATAATTTACTATAACACAGTGTTATATTTAGTAACGCGGCCTATACTCGTGTGTCATATATACCAGAGGTAATGGCTGTGTTTATATTGTGCTCTGCGATTGCATTTAGTATTGTCATAATATTATCGCAACCTTCTGAGCTGTTGGCATTAAAAAGTTGTTTTGGCAGCTATTGTTGTGCGATGGTGTGTAGGGTTGTCAATATTATAGTATCGAGATCATTGTTGTTAATCGGGGCTGTTGTCACCATAAGATTGAGATCGACGTAGCACCATGTTTAGGGGCGTTGACATTATAGTATTGTTTTCAAGGTTTATTATTAGGGCTGTTGTTAAAGTGATTACGTCACCGTAAATAGTAAACGTAAACATATTATGTCCACTTTTCTACAAAATGTAAGTGATTCTGTTCACTTTTTAGGGTTAAATTGCTGCATTATACTTCCTATTTTGCTATTCTGTTCGATGTGAACAAACACTCGTGACTCGTACATAGCCCATAGCAGACATTTAATGTCGTGATCAATATATCAAATCGCCCACTCTTTTGGATTTTCAACTAGTTGAGAAACAATCTTATCAGGTAAGAATTTGAATAAACATATAGTCCTTTTAGTACTTACTTTTCATGTAAAAAAAATTGCAACAAAACTTTTAGAAATATACACCATAGAAAATTCCTGATGTAGTCATGCAATTTAATACATATTCAAAATTGTATTTATGATTGGTAATATTATGGATTCATGTTTATAGTGTTGACATTCTGACATTTTGTTCAGGCTTGTATATGAGGTAGCTGGCGGTTTTGATATTTATTTTATATTTATTTGTTCACGGTACCATTATAGTGTCATGTCTATGGGGTGATAGTGGGCTTGATTTGTTTCAGAATGGAGAGCTCTGCACTCTGCCCCTGCTTCTAGAACCATATTTTCCCAGTATGGAAGGTCTGCCTATGTATATCCTTCGCTTAGCAACAGAAGTAAGCCTCCCTCACCCTCTGTATATATATCTCTCCCTCCCCCTCTCTCTCTCTCTCTCTCTTTCTCTCTCTCTCTCTCTCTCTCTCTCCTCTTCTCTCTCTCTCTTGTCTCTCCTCTCTCTCTCTCTCTCTCTCTCCTCTCTCTCTTTCTCTTCTCTCCTCTCTCGTCTCTCTCTCTTCTCTCTCTCTCTTCTCTCTGCTCCTTGCTCTTTCTCTCTCTCTCTCTCTTCTCTCTCTTCTCTTTCTCTCTCTCCTCTCTCTCATGTTTCTATCTATCTTATCTCCACTCTCTTTCTCTCTGCTCTCTTCCTCTCTCTCTCTCTCTCTCTCTCTCTCTCTCTTCTCTCTCTCTCTCTCTCTCTCTCTCTTTCTCTCTCTCTTTCTCGGTTTCTTTTTCTGTTTCTTTGTTTCTCTCTCTCTCTCTCTCTCTCTCTTTCTCTCTATCTCATTCCCACTTATGCACCTCTCCACTTCTCTCTTTCTCTCTCAGTCTCGGTCTCTCTTAGTTAAGGCGAGCTTCGTTGCCATTTTATACTAAGAGGAGCGGTGTACGAGTTTTTCAGTAAGCAATTTTATTGATCTCGAATAACGAAACCCTAATTTATATTCTCTATTGTTTCTGTTTCTCTTGACAACTTTTTTTATATATTGTCATGAATGTGCATCCTTGTTGTGAGGTTTAATTCATTTCTTCGGTTATCATGCAGGTTGATTGGGAAGATGAACAAAAGTGTTTCGAGTCATTCTGCAGAGAGACTGCAGAGTTTTACTCGTTCAAACCCAACGTCGCCTCGAATGGCAATGATGATTGTGTACCGGAAAAGGTTCATAAGTTCTATTAGTCACATCATAGACTGTAGATTAACCATTTTAATAAGGAAATTGTACCATTTTTATTTATTAAATTATTTAATGAAGAATAGTAATAGCAATAGTGATAATAATAATAATAATAATAATAATCTGTTGCTCTATGTTTGTCTAAGTTAGATGTAATTCTATGGTTATGTATCAGCGTTTGATAGCATTCTAATTGCCGAATTAAGTTGCATATGACATATTGTGATAAACGTTTTACATAGTAGAGCATTTCACATTATATATATATATACATATATTTGTATTAACAATTTACAGTCTCCTGGTCTAAGCCAATCAGAACAGACAGGTGAAGCTACCCAATCGGAACCAACTACAGGTTTAGACAGTGAATCAGTCCCAGATGAGGATTCAAGTACCCCGACATGGAAATGGACTGTGGAACATGTCATCTACCCAACTCTCAAAACCACTTTGCTACCGCCGAAACATTTTGCTGACAACGGTAGCATCTTAGAGGTGGCTAATCTGCCAGACCTCTACAAGGTGTTTGAGAGATGTTGATCAGTAGCTAACATAGATATAGATAGGTATAGATAGTCCCTGATATCGATGTAAATAGAACTATCAACTGTGCAGCTCAGTCAATGCATGTGTGTGTTATCGAACCTCATCATAACTAGAGAGTTGATAACACACCAAAGGTGTACTACCTCATTAGTTTGCATTGATCCAGTGCTGGTATATCATGGTCAAATCTTGCTGGAGATTTACACCATCGGTGCTCATTCTCTTTGCAATCACAATTTGCTAGAACTCGGTCTGTGGTCCTCACATATAATTTCACAGGTGTGTGTGTAATATAGTCGTAACCCCTAACACTCGTAAACGATGTTGATGTAAATAAACGTAAAACATGTAATGTAATTGGTCATAATGTTACTATAACTAATAATTTCCTCCTGGAGGCAGCTTCCTTCTAACCTGTGGATCGCGATAGATTCGGATATCCTGTGAAAGTTTCTTGTGCGCACGTGTCGGGAGCACGTATGTCTCCCGCTAGCGTTCTCTTCATGTACGTCGCGTGTGTCTCAGCACTGAACTCGCATTGTTTGACGGCGCCATCTTGGTGCATCCTCTCCGCCCAGGCCGTCAGCTTGGCATGCTTGTTGTCCGACCAAACTTTGGCAAGAGGCTGAAGGCGTTCCAATGCTGGAAGTCGCTCGATCACTGGCCAGATGTTGTAGTCTAACATACCCACTTTATTTCCTGAAATGTAGTAGAATAAGACTAAAGGATGTATTGCACTTGTAAATGCTAAATATATCATATTTATTTCCTCCGTTGAATTTGGGATCCGTTGTGCGATTTTACTGACAGAGTGTATATTTGTTAACCGGTTTCACTTTCAAATGTCGAAATATGATGGCATGTCATCAATTATGTGAGTCTATATCCGACCAACCAGTAGCTGGTTCTTCCTACATAAACAAATAGTTTTTAGAACGTCGCTCACTTTAGTAACGCATATCAAATACCGATGTCATGTGTTTTGCGAGGACAAAAAACTGGCATCCCATGAGATCCCATACTACGAGTGGGTGGAGGGGGGGGGGTTATCATGCTCACTCGTACATACTGCTATTCACAAGCAATATTCGTCCTTGTTTCTAAGAATATGTTTTGAATTACCCGAGAAGAATAGTTGCGAAAGCTTGTTGTAAGAAAGTTATATTGTTACGATTTCTCGTATAGGAAAGGCTGTGAGAGTTTTTCTTTTCAAAGACGATATTGTTGTAAATTACCAGAGAAGAAGGGCTGCGAGAGTTCTTTCTCAAGAAGGTCTATTCCTTCAGCAATGCAGATCACTCCATCTTCTATTTGGTTACGCAATGCAACTTGTATTAAACCGCTCATCACCTGTGACAGAAAAATACATGACTGCGTTCATCCATTATTAAAATCATGATGGGTCTTTACTTTATAATATTAGGCGATTATATATAATAATATAGACATATAAATATAAAAAATAGAATTAGTTG